GAGAGTAGTTGGATGGGTGACCACGTTCAGCAGCTTGACTCTTGAGAGTTTCTAGGACTTCGGTCCTGCCCCACACTGAAGCACATGTGGTGTCTCCTTAGGCAAGTGACTTTGTTCGAATTGTGCCTCTGTTCACCCTAGGGAGCTGAGAAAGAAAATCGAGGCTCACTGATCCACTGACCGGGGTAATAATAGTGTAGCGCTATGAGCCATCACTTGGTGAATGGAATCTGGCGCACAAAAAATGCACTTATTGTTATTATTATTAAAGGTGTTACAGGTTTATACCTGGAATAAAATGACAATTTAGAAAATATTTAGAACATACAAATACCCATGTCAATGAAAACCCTGACACTGCAGGCATACAGAAATGATTTAGTATTATGTATCACCAGTATGTATCATGACGCACTCAACCCTTGTTATAGAAAATATAACGCCAATTCCAGAGAGAGACAGTTTCCACTTTATTAAAAAACGGGGGCACGGATGGCCTAGTCGTCTAAGGCGCCGCGATTCGCTGTGCAGAGTTGCGTCCCTTGGACACGGGGTTCGAATCCCGGTTCGCCCCGATTATGTTTCTAGGTTTGTCAGCACCATACCCGTGCTCGTGGGTTTCACCGAAGTGGTAAACGTCTGAGACCTGCATCACTTCGGGCTTTCCTCCCACATTAAGCTGACACGCCGCGATATAACTGGAATACTGTTAAAAGCGGCATTAAACCCAACTCACTCACTCACTATTAAGAAAACAGGTTTCATTGGGCGTAAATGTAAAACAATTGACGGTGCTCACTGCAAATGAATGATAACACCGTGTCCGCAAAAAGAGTAAGCCGAAACCGTAAGCTCTTCGAATTCTTGCTTGTAAGCTGGGACCTTGTCAATATTAAAATAAATCCCAGAAAGAACATAGCTGGTTCAAGAAATTTGTATTCAATTTTCTAAATATAACATTTCCATAATCATAAGAAATGTCTGTCACAAGCAAAGTCTATTGTTGAAAAGCTTGTGTCTGTCAGTCACCATCAGCCTAGGCCCAAATCACTCTAGATTGATCTCAGTCTAGGCCCAAGTCATTCTAGAATCATCTCAATGAAGGCCCAAATCACCCTAGAGTCACTCTAGAATGATCTCAGCCTTGGCCCAAATCATTCTGGAGTGATCTCAGCCTAGGCCTTAATCACTCTAGAGTGATCTCAGCCTTGGTCCAAATCATTCTGGAGTGATCTCAGCCTGGGCCCAAATCATTCTGGAGTGATCTCAGCCTGGGCCCAAATCACACCAGAGTGATTTGAGCCGGGGATTGAGTTGGGCTTCGTACACTGGTACAATCAGAACCACAGAAATATGAAATCACACATTTTATAATCATCAAATCCAACTGTAGGCTGGAACTATCCTATGAATACACAGTGTCTTTTAGAAAGTGGTCAGTTAAATAAATGTTATATTTGGAATAACTTTCTTGTACTTGTTTGGGTCGAGTCCTATGGAACTATCCTTCACTGAAATCATCACTAGACTCACGGGGCAGTGACAGTGGTCCTGTATATATACCTGTACTACAATCAGGGAATTACCTGGGTCCATCTATTTTCAAGTCCAGGGGACGTAATGAACGTAGTTGAAAACGATCCTATGATTAACATCTTGCCTTTTTAAAACGAGAATATTCCGATGTACATGATGCTGTCCCAATTTTTGTACGTTTCTATCATTAATCAGCTTGGTTCAAATATCGAAAACATATTTCACGAAAATCAGCAAGTTTGACCCATTTTTCCATACCAAAGCTTTGTTTTGATTTATAATAAAATCTGTCATTCTGATTTTGAAGAAACAACAAGTGATCTTATATCTTCTATCCTAAATATGCATGTCTAGTAGAGCAGATCACTCAAAATATTAAAAAACACATTAGAAAGCCTACAAACCCTATCCACTTTCTGCCAAATTAAACAAATAGACATGAAATCTTCCGAGGGGAGTTTCTAAAAGATCCCATTACGATAAATTATAAAAGGGTAAAGGTTAGTTTGCCTTTAGGTATAAAAGAGAAATGAAGCATATAATTAGTGATACTATAGGAGAACATAATCGGTGAATCCCTCCTGAAGGCGTATTTCACACTCTAGATACATAGCCAACGCAGGTCAAAGGCCCTGTTCCACAAAGCGATCATAACGCTAAGGTGGTCGTAACTCCCATACTTTAACATAGACTGACGACAATCGTAGCGCTACAGTCGCTTTGTGGAACGGCGCCATGATGTTTAGCGTATTGTGCGTATCGCCGTGTTACTAAGCTGCTTTCAGGTGCAGAAGGACCGGCTCATTTACCGGCTTTACCCACTCTAGAGTGATTTAGGCCCAGGTTGAGATATGAGGGTGATGTGGGCCTTGGCTCAGATCATCCCTCATATGCTCATACTATTCCACCCGGGCAGGCCCAAATGACCCCCGGGGCCCAAATCACCCCCTTTAAAATTTCAAATGTTTGATTGTACGTTCTGGCATGTTTGTATATGAAGTTAATGATATATTAAACCACTTATGTTTATTGGTAGTTTATTTTATGCTTACAGAATATGCTATTAATATTTTATTTTTTCATTGGAAACTATTTTATGACATATGGTACCTTTCTGTACGGATTGATAAGGTGCGGTTACAGTACATGTTTCCTTCAAACAAACACACGCAAACTTTCAAAAATGACACAATTCGTGTGCATAATTGGAATCCCAAATGTCCACTCCGTGTGCACTAACTGTTACAGATATCAACACTCTCAGTTAATGCGTTCAACATGTACATACATTTCATACATAATGTATTGACATGGTCCCAGCTGGCAAACAAGAGTTCTAAGAGCTGACTGTCTCAACACTCTTAGTTAATGTTACAGATATCAACACTCTTAGTTAATGTTACAGATATCAACACTCTTAGTTAATGCGTCCTACATGCACATATAGTCAACAGACACTACAAGACTGTAGGTCACAAAGTACTGTTTGTATTTTTATTATTGTATTTGTAAATAAATAAACGAGGATCAGAGGAAGATTGGAACTATAGGTGGAACCAGGTGATGGGAGAATACGACATAAGTGTGTTGATTTTACATGTACATGTCATGTAAAGAGCATACATTGTTCAATTATAATATCCTCTGATTTCTAGTATTATGAAATTATTAATATTCCTCAAAATGAAGGACCAGGTGAATTATACACTTTTAAAAAGAAACGCAGAGGCGATTTTAGATGTATATTTTCTATATCATATAAATACTCAACATATCGATTGTTCAAAATTTGCACACATCATTTCATTGACACAGGTTCCATATGACGTAGCCATATGAATCTGTCTTGTGCTCCAGTTGAAATACGTGGTCGACCGGTTCTGGGAAAGTCCTGTGTTGTCCCGGATGTCTGATAACGGTTCCTGTGTATATATCTGTCACCACAAAGTAGTACCGCATCGTACCTTCGTACCATCGCACTGTTCTATTGTGTCACCACATCGTAGTACCGCATCGTACCTTCGTATCATCTCAGTGTTCTATTGTGTCACTACATCGTAGTACCGCATCGTACCTTCGTACCATCGCACTGTTCTATTGTGTCACTACATCGTAGTACCGCATCGTACCTTCGTACCATCGCACTGTTCTATTGTGTCAGCACATCGTAGTACCGCATCGTACCTTCGTATCATCTCAGTGTTCTATTGTGTCACTACATCGTAGTACCGCATCGTACCTTCGTACCATCGCACTGTTCTATTGTGTCAGCACATCGTAGTACCGCATCGTACCTTCGTACCGTCACATTGTTCTTTTGTGTAACTGCACCGTAGTACCGCATCGTACCTTCGTATCATCGCAGTGTCCTATTGTGTCACTGCATCGTAGTACCGCATCGTACCTTCGTACCATCTTACTGTTCTATTGTGTCACCACATCGTAGTACCACATCGTACTTTCGTAACATCTCACTGTTCTATTGTGTCACCACATCGTAGTACCACATCGTACCTTCGTACCATCTTACTGTTCTATTGTGTCACTGCACCGTAGTACCGCATCGTACCTTCGTATCATCGCAGTGTCCTATTGTGTCACTGCATCGTAGTACCGCATCGTACCTTCGTACCATCGCAGTGTTCTATTGTGTCACCACATCGTAGTACCACATCGTACCTTCGTACCATCTAACTGTTCTATTGTGTCACTGCACCGTAGTACCGCATCGTACCTTCGTATCATCGCAGTGTTCTATTGTGTCACCACATCGTAGTACCGCATCGTACCTTCGTACCATCGTACCATCTTACTGTTCTATTGTGTCACTACATCGTAGTACCGTACGTACCTTCGTATCATCGCAGTGTTCTATTGTGTCACCACATCGTAGTACCGCATCGTACCTTCGAACCATCTTACTGTTCTATTGTGTCACTACACCGTAGTACCGCATCGTACCTTCGTATCATCGCAGTGTTCTATTGTGTTACTGCACCGCAGTATCGCACGTGTTAGTACTGCCAACATGTCTATTTTATCATATGTCTTTAACACGTTAATAAGAAGGCAGGAAATAGCAGAAATCTGTATTCGGTATACAAGCAAAAGGCTCATATGTCAACATAATTTCAGCAGGATATTTTCAAGTGTTATAAGTGCAATCATCTTTAACGCGAACTTTATCCCCATTTATCAACACCACATTTAAAAAATCTTGAATCAATCTTGGTCGACCATCAAATTGCTTGTTAAAAGGTATGGGCCCCATACGGAATTCCACAAAGCGATCGTAGCACTCCGACTGTTGTAAGTCAATGTTGAAGTATGGAAGTTACGATCGCCTTAGTCCTACGATCATGTTTGGGATAGGGCCGTGTTATAAAAAAAGCCCTTTGATTAGATAAAAGAGTGTGATACATCCATAGGGAGGTGATATACTCCATGGTGACATTGAAAATTTCATCACAACAACATAATTATTTAATCTCTATTATTCAGTTAATGTTTCAGTCCGTTATCAAACATGTTAACCCGAACAGCTGTCATCTGTCGGAGACCACTGGACTTGACCACCAATCTCGTTGCTTGTCGGGCTGTGACACGTCAGGTTAACGTGCACAGCATCCTAGCTATGCACACAGTTGCTTGGAGCGACTTAACTCGGTTGTGTCAGCTCGCTCCTTCACGCCGGGAGAACATGGCCTTTGCAAGGTAGGTACAATTAATGTTATGCACTTCGGACCCAAACTAACCATTTCAACGATTAGACACCAGGGACCGAGGGCTCTAACCAATTTAAACCATGAAAATCTTTTGGAGAACCTTAACACCTAAAATGTTTAATCAACATTGATTTGATAATCGTATTTATAAAGATATTCAAGAACTCGGTGCTCAACTGTGAGAATACTGTGTTTTGTGTGTGTGTGTGTGTGTGTGTGTGTGTGTGTGTGTGTGTGTGTGTGCGTGTGTGTGTGTGTGCGTGCGCGTGTGCACATACTCCTAGTCAAAATGTAGAGATACCATCAAAATCAGGTAATATCCTGCCACATCTTTAACAGTACCATACAGCATAACAGTTATATCGCGGTGTGTCAACTTAATGTGGGAGGAAAGCCCGAAGTGATGCAGGTCTCAGACGTTAAACACTTCGGTGAAACCCACGAGCACGGGTATGGTGCTGACAAACCTAGGCACATAATCGGGGCGAACCAGGATTCGAACCCACAATCATAGGTTTCTGGCGTGCTCAAGGGACAAACTCTGCACAGCGAATCGCGGCGCCTAAGACGACTGGGCCACCCGGGTCACCAAATACTGTTATAGACATGTATTATCATTTTATCATTACGTATATGCATGTACACATGTATTATCAAATATAGTAAACTACGGTTATAACGAACTCGAAGGGACCACTAATTTTAGTTCGTAATAACCGTAGTTCGTTATAAGCATATATACGACGTTTATACAACAAATGGTCGGGACTTAAAAAAAAGTTCGTTATATCAGTCAGTTCGTTAAATGCGCGTTCGTTATAACCGTAGTTTTCTGTACATATATTTTCATTCATTGTTCATAAGTTTTTTTCAGTTTTCATCTTTTCTTGTACACGTGTACAGGAATGCTGTGCAATGAATAAATCCAAGTCGATCACTCCAATAAAAACCCTCGCTCCCACAGCTGTAGGAGTGTGGGTAGACTAACTGTCGGCCTGTGGCCATTTGCATGCTAAAAGAGATAGATTTTTATATATACTGATCGTAAATGACTGTAGATCGTGCATAAAGAAAATGTCATGCTTGTTTGAGTAATCTGGTTCCTACCACGTTTAGCTACATGTATATACAGCCATATTGGTTTCACACATGGGCTGGGCTCCCTGGTGTGATATAACCACAATGATATACTCCATAACGTCATGCAGAAAAAGGGGCAAAAGAAAAATATTGGGCGAGACGTATACGGCAACTAAAGACACCATAACTAATTTATTATACCGAAAAGTTTACTTAATTTGGTGTCTTTATCGCACATGAAACGGTATAAACGACAGGACCAGTACATATGTTTCCGATACAACGCTTTCATGTAAACATAAACGTTAATAATGGAATACACTTAATGTGAAGGTTTAAACAAGTATATTATAGGTAAAATGGATAGCATTTTCATAAAAATGCCAGCATGTTATCTGAAATGTGAGGGCAACTGTAACTTGATAGCAGTCTCCCTTCCCCTTCCGACCTGCTGCTGTCTATTCTTTTGCTATGTGACGTCATTGGCGTCACGTTTCTTATTTGTGACGTCATCCTATATTATGTTCTATGACATTGCTATTTGTAAATCAGTTACCTCCGTTGTAACCTTTTTTGTCTATAATTTTTATTAATAAAGTCACGAACGTGGTTTCTTTGAAAATAAATGTCTTTGCACATCACAATGAATGGTATTAAGACACAAAACAATGTCGAATGACGAATTTCTGTACCAGAATGTCATGTGAAATATATGAGGTAGGTGTTGGAAAATTCCAAGGTGGCTGTTGCTGACAGTATACGGTCTCATATCAGGTCAGTATCAACCATCTTGGATTTGTACTGATGGTATACGGGCTCATGTAGGGTCAGTACTTCTGCTCTCTGATTGGTCAATTAGGCGCCAGCATATCGGCAGATATATATTTATTTACATACCTTCTACTCTACTGGTGAATGTTTGTTACTCAACGTTTTGTGTTTTTTTGCTAAAATGAAGCAATAATGACCACATGAATTATTTATGATGGTATTATATCTTTAGCCTCCATGACCTGAGGGCCATTTTTTAATAGTTCGTGTAGATAGGTAGAGTATCGTAGTTACTTACTTAAATTGTGAATTTAAGTCCCTTATCAATATCTATCAATCATCTGGTAAGTTATTTTGTGCTTTCATGGAATTTAGAAAAGCATTCGACGCAGTATGGAGATCTGGGTTATGGCTAAAAATGATTAAAAGTTATATGAGCAGGAAATGTTTTAGGTTAATTTACAACATGTATCAGAATATTATGTCCTGTGTCATGTATGATTATGACATAACATCTTTTTTCATATGTAATGCCGGAGTTCGCCAAGGTGATAATTTGTCTCCTTTTCTGTTTGCGCTTTATATTAACGTTTTGGAATGCTTTCTGAGAGAAAATGAGGTCAAAGGTTTGGATCTTGTGAATAATTATATCGAGAGTCATCTTTGTGTTCAGTACAATAACCCTCTCCTGCCTCTATCTTGCCGATTGTATGCATGAAACCACCATCACACAAGTAACTGCAACCTTGGCGTGGGAAGAAATTTCGAATGTGATGCACAAAACTTCTGCAAATTACATATGTCAATCAAAATATAGCTACAAGCAACATAATGTTTTGTCATTTATATATTGCTTCTGTTCCGTAATGGTATGTTATCGTATCTGATCTATCTTGTCTTAGTCCAAGAACATACATAATAACTTACAGTATGTGGACGAAAGGGTGTTTCAAATGTGGTTTGTAATTTTAAAGGAGGTAATGTGCATTATTGCAAATGCTTAAATATTACCATAGTAAAGTAGAGTACAAACGCAGAAGGATACCAGGGCCCTCTTGCACAAAGCGATCTTAGCGCTAAGATCGCTTTGTGCAAGTGGGCCCAGGTGATTAATGTACTATAAACATCAAGTACAATTACGCAAACAAAATGTTCAGATATGAACAAAATATCACTTTGTTATTTTACTTTGCTATATCTTAAAATATGATAGAGTGTTTTCTTTCCTATCTGTTATTGGTTAATGTTAATTAACTGTTAAACTACTTAGTAATGTGTCTGAACCGTGTGGACTGTGTGGGTCAAACAATGGGGAAATCCTTGTGTGCGTGCGTGCGTGCGTGCGTGCGTGCGTGCGTGCGTGTATGTGTGTGTGTGTGTGTGTGTGTGTGTGTGTGTGTGTGTGTGCGTGTGCGCGCGCGCGTGTGTGTGTGTGTGTGCGTCATCACGTTTCGATCGCTCGATCAGCCCATTTCATTTGTATTTTTCTAACAAATAAACTGTCTATTTTCTTATACACCATCAAAGAATCTATTCATTTACACAATTAGCACAACAATTTTAACGTTTTGGTATTTTCCACGAAACTAACTATTCGTTTTTTTTATCCCCCCCCCCCCCCCCCCGGCATATAATGCGGGTGATAGAGTCGACGCCACGTCCGTCCGTCCGTAATCCTTTCGTTTCCGGAGCGTAACTAAAAAAACCGGTTTTCAACGAAAACTGGCAGATATATCTTCGTGCATTTCTAAAATTTTAAGCCAATATTTTAAACAACGACGTATGCATTAATACACGGATATCTTCAACATTCGCCATAACCATAGTTTGGAGTTGATATTCCTGTCTTTAAAAACTTTTTACATGCATATAAATATATCTTCTCCATTGATTCATATTTTTTAAAACCCCAAAGTTCTGAGCCGTATAAAAGGATCGACTGTGTTTGGGTATCATATACGTGTAGATTAAAATAAACTCCAGGTGGGACATGTTCTATAATCTGGATACAGTGGTAAGTTACCATTGCGTCCTTGTTCGACTCTTGAAGATCCGGGGTAGAATAGGTCTTTAGCAACCCATGGTTGCCGTAAAAGGCGACTATGCTTGTCGTAAAAGGCGACTAACGGGATCGGGTGGTTAGGCTCGCTGACTTGGTTGGAGCGATGTTCATGATGTAAGTCACTGGATAGTCTGGTCCAGACTCGATTTAGTCAGACCGCCGTCATATAGCTGGAATATTGGTGGGTGCGGCGTTAAACAGCAAACAAACAAACAAAAACGTCCTTGCTCAGAGATATAAGTTAAAGAACCACCACCATCTCCGGCAACACGATCACTGAGTGTATACAATCTAAATATATAACAAAATTTTAAAAGTAAATTTCCAAATCTATTTACACAACCATCACATAAATATATGTAACTGATAGGTACGGGCTGATCTGGAAAAATATCTCTGATCGATTCACTGTGCACAGAAATAGGAGGCTGATTTCTACAACAAACTCGGGCGTTAAACTCCACACATAACTGAATGTGACAGTCTGCAACAATGCTAGGGTTATCATACCATCACTGCTCTAAACGTTCTAATAACATAGGTTCCCTTGTAACACTATAATATCTAACAACAGACGATCTTAACTAACTGGAAACTGAAGTCATCATTCCAAATGTACTTATCATAATGTACATTACTAATTCCCCGCTGCTGGTCTTCTACGTCATCGCCATATTTACAACTGATTTCCAGAGGAAAATGATCAGAGTCTACTATTTCGCCAACATTCAACATAGATATGTGTTACAAAATTCCATAGAGCAGATGACGTAATCGTTAACACTGCTGCCCTGGCTACTGACCTACGTATATATTTTGATAACCTGTGACAAACATCGTTATCCAAATTGTTTTTTTATAACTATGCAAAAACCATCGATGGCCTGCTAAATACAGACACAAACTCCACCACAACATCGACCGTATTTAGATATTTTGATGGCAGATGAATAAACACATATCCAGGTAACAAACTGTTTGGTAATTCGTAAGACAAAATTCGACGACTGGCTCTTAGGAACGGATGCCTGGAGGTCCATGATCTCGTCTTTAATGTGCTGCCTGTTCCGTCTCAT